GTGTGTGTGTGTGTGCGGCGATATATGCGCATGTTGAAAAGCACTAAAAAGTATTATATAAATGATAATTTGTTGCTTCATATGTGCACATGGTTGTTAGTATCATATATGTACGAGTATGTATGTGTGTGTGCATATAGTATGTGCCTGGAGTACGTTGTTTTCTGAGTGATGTAATTTTATTTGTTGGCTGTTTGTGCTAAAATGGGTTGGAATGCATAAACCATTGTGGACAAAGGCTTTGAAAGTTGTTTTCTCCTTTCTGCATCGCTGTTTTTCTCTTTGTTATGCTTTACCTTTCTCTAAAATGCATGCATAATTTGCCGTAAGCATATTTCCGCTTCCGGTTTTGCCCATTTGCTGTGGCTGCTGCCATTTGTTGGCTTGCAATGAAACAAAAGCACTTAGCGCTCGGCAGCAAAAAGCAACTGAAATGGCTTCAAGTTAAATAAATAAATACAAAGAGAGGGAAATAGCTAGAAATTGTTTTAAATGCTTAAATAACTCAAAGCCAATTCAATCAAAATCAAACTCAACTCAACTCAACTCCAAATCTAAGTTCAAGCAAAACTTTCAACAGCCAAAGATTAGCTCACCTCGTTTACTTCGTCACAAGTCCACATCAATTGCACATTTTGGGCAACTTCGGTCCGAATGCAATGCAATTAAATGCGACAAAGTTCGAAATTGAATTGCACGTAGTGGGAAAGTCAATGCACTGAACTGAACTAGACTGGGTTGCAAAAGTCTGGACCCGAGATCACTGTGCCCCAGGCATTCACTCTGTCAGTCTCTGTTTGTTTGTGTGTGCATGGGTGTGTGTGTGTGTGCGAACTTTGTCGAAAACAAAATGCAAGACAAACGCTGGACATCACTGAAATTCAATTCTGTTGCGCTCGATTGCGTTGCATTTCAATATAAATATTTATTTTATTCATACTAAGACAGAGAAAGACAAAGAGAGAGAGAGACTCCAGATTGCCAGAGACAAGTTGCAGCTGACAGTAAAAGATGTTGTGTAGCCCATTTGTTTTTTCTGAATGCTCACAAAGTCAGGCTGCTCGTTGCTCTATTAGAATTCAATTTTCCAACTGATTTTGTATGTGAAAGCAACCAAGTTAATGGCAAGTTATCTCTCGTGTCTTGTATCTTTGTCGAATGCGTCGCTATAACTTTGGCTTTGTCTACCACAGAAGTTTATAGTGCGCCCCTTACAACAAACATTTGTTTTCTAGTCCATCTAGATTGAATACTTGTACTTGTACCCTGCACCCAACGGGTAAATTCTAAACTAGTTTTTGCTAATGCGCGAGGGTTGCTCAAAAAGAGTAGTCAAAAAGTATAAAAATTGTCAAACTGTCGTGTTGTGGCCCGATTCGCAACATTATAGCTATACAAATAAATGTTCTTCGTACTCTAATTTGTACACTTTTTCTAAAGTTGTTTCCTTTTGTTTAACCTCTCGAAAAAATACGATTTTTCAAACTCTCCGGAATACGCTTCTGTCTTGGTGATAACTTTTTCATTTCAGACGATTTTTTTTTCCTGCAAGCCATGTTTTCAAGTTAGTGAACAGAAAAAATTCGTTGGATAGCAGGTCGGGCGAGTATGGCGGTGCGAAAGCAATTCGTGGTGCAGTTCGTGCCATTTGGCCGCGACAATTAAAGATGAATGTGCTGGTACGCTATCGTTTTTTTCTTAACCAAATGGGGCCGTGTCTCCTGCAATTTTTCATCGAATCTGTTGAACAACTCACTATAGTACTACGCTGTGAACTAAAAAAAATTATGGAATGCTTGTTGCTTTTTCGGACCAGATTAGTTCGAAAAAAAAGATTGTTTTGACTGTCTCTTGGTCACCGAATTGTAATACTAATGTACCCAGGTTTTATCCACTTTAACGAATTGAAAGTGAAAGTGCTGCGCATCTCGTTTAAAGCAGTATCCATTGGACCGACAATTTCCTCACCCGATCTTATCATATAAAATCTTGATTGCTGTTCCAAATGAGACATTTATGGCCTATGCCTTATTACCTGGAGAATCAGGTCGTTGGAGTTTTCGATGATATCCTCCACGTTTGACAGGCGTACTTCATCTAAGCCAGTACGACACGCTTAATACCGTGAAAGCAATATTTTATCGGAAACTTATTTACAAATAAATAATTACACTTAAGGGTTCTAAAAGCGGGAAAGTACATTTTATGAATCCTTCTTCAAAGATCAAGTTAATTCTTTTGTAACTTTTGAGCGCCCTCATATTTATATTATCAACTGGATTTTATTCAAGTTTTAAACTAATTATTAAATCACCTAGATTCTTGTAACATCGACGGACTTTTCTCACACAGGTATTTGAGATAGAGACAGTAATGATGTTATTGTCTGTGCAACTTTTAATAAAACTGTTCAGCTAATTAATTGCAAACTTCTCTCTTCTTTTTTTTTAAGTATCTGCGGCGTGTACTGTAAGATGCAAAGAATCCGGCTTCTGTCAAAGTCATAGTTACATCCAAAGCCAAAGCCAATGCCGCAACTGTAGCCGCACCAACGGCAACGACGAGTCGTTGCTAATTTGAAAGCATTTTTTGTATTTCGTTGCCTTGGAAGACAAATGCAAAATGTCAGTGCAAGGCAGCGGTGGCAGGACAGGCGATGGGTGCAAGAGGAGCATGCATACTTACCCGCACACAATAGTTGTGTTGGCAACTTTTTCATTTTGAATTTTGCTTAATTTCTGTTGTCATTTTGCATTGCGAAAATGTCAAACTTATCGACGCTAAGCCACGTGCCACGTGGAACTTCGGGCAGCAGCATCAACGAGGAAGCCTGTGTGCGATTGTGTGGCTGTGGATGATGGGATGGTACTCGTAGACTGGGCTACTGGTACCTGCAGAGTCCTCTGCCAGTGCAACCCAAGCGCATTCGTGTTGCTGTGGCACGCCAATGTTGCACGTTCAAATTAACTTTAATGAACTCAGTTTAGTTGCAAATGAGTTACAAAACTCGAAAACACATCGAGACGTGTTTAGGGTTCATGGCTAGTGTGGGGGACGTGTGAGCGGGCACTGGCAGGAGTTGGCAGGCAGGTGTTTACCTCAAAGGGGTTCCAAGATTTCCGCCTTACAACGAACAGTTGCCTTGGCTGTTTTAATTTGTTTTTCAGTTGCGTTGTGCATCCCACACATTTGTTGAGCTTTTGTCGCCCCTAAAAGCATGCTACAAACATAAATTTAACATTTAAATAAGATGGCGGAGTGGTGCAGAAAAATCTCAGGGCAAATGAAATGTCAGCAATGTTTGTGACAGTTGGCAAATTGCAAAAATTTTCATGTTGCTAACACACAAAAAATATAAAAGAGGTTAAGGCCCTTGTCTGGCATGTGTTGGAAATCTGTACATATAATTTAAAGATATCGAATATACGAGTATAGTATTTCTGGTTGCGCATGCGAATGCTTGATATTTGTTTGTCATCGCGTTTAAAAATGTGCTAATGTGTGCTTTTTTGACAGCTATGCTTATTTATGGCTATGTTTTTCTTCTTGGCCTTGTCAATGCCACACCCTGTGGCTTGCCTGATTTTAAGTCGAATAAATTTATTGGCTTGCTGTGTGCCGATTATCACAATATCCAGATTAGTTCGATGCCCTCTCCTCTTTTAGTCGTAAAGAATTCCAAATTTTGTTTACTCTGCTCATAAGAAAGGCTTAAGCTGAAGCAGTTGAGGAGCGTTGAACTCGTCTATGCGGCACGGGCGCAAAGCCAACATAAATTATCTGAGCCATGAAAAAATTCGCTGCACCACCAAACAAATTGAAATAAAATCAGATACTTGTGCGTATTCGTATGTGTTTTGAAGTGTATATTTGTGTTTGATAGTCGGCCAGCCAAAATATGCGCTGCCAAAAAGTGTGAAAACCGCAACAATAGCGGAGTACAGCGGCCAGCCAACCAACTGGCTGGCTGATATTTTGAATTCTTGCCCAACAAACAGATTTGGTTGCGGTTAATGTGTGTGGAAATTCATGTTCAAAAATAACACTTTAAGCTAATTATTTTCAAGTGCGTAAATAAATGATGAAACATATGAATAAATAATAATAAAATATAATTTATATAATTGACATACATTAAAGCTATAATTTGAAGAGCATTTTATTTGACTTTAAACAACATTTTATTGTATTGTTGGCTCGTAATACAATGCAAAACGACACTCCTTAGAGTGTGCATTATAATTTACAAAAATTTAACATAAAGTAAAGGCTTAAGGTGATAGACAATTAGTTAAATTAATTAATAAATTATCACGACCAAAAGATTAAAAACACAAATATATGGAAATATATTTTTAAACTACAAGTATGATGCTGCAGTTAAAGAGTTTTTTTTTGGGACAGTAAACAAGTGTATAGTAAAGCAAGAGTTTTCTGACTGTGCAGTCTGTTCGTCAAACCTTGGGGTCTACTGTCACAAGAAAGCGCCAAAGAAAGTTTTAAGATGCCACCTGGCTTGCAGTGTTAACGCTAGTTTCCTGTTTGAAAGACAAATCAAAGCGATGGGCGAAATAGAAATATTGACGATCGAGCAGAGCTGTCTAATGGTCGTCCTCACACTATTACCACAGCACTTATGCTTACACACAAAGCAAATTAATTAAGCAAATATTGTTAGTGTATAAAGTATTAATATAAACTAGTATATAAGGCATTTTTCGTATAAAAAGAGCTCAATAAACCATGATCAGCACAGAAGGTTTTGATTGAACGTCCTCCTCATTTATTACACTTGACTCATTCTTTAAATAAGTATATAAAATATTTGTTCTGGAGTGTCGTGTCCATTGCTGGTTACTGCCAGAACAATATAAACGCAATCGGTAACTGCTTTATGAACTCGGCCATTTATGCTAGTTAAAAGCAAAAACTTTGTTGATACGTGTAATTTAATTTATTAACTGAAGAATTATTTAATATTTTTGTGCACAATTCAGGCTTTATCCCTGCAGTCCACTCCAACCACGCTGCAACCCATTCCAGCCCCAAGCACCCACCTGTGCATCAATCCATGTTCTCAACGCCATTACACTTGTGTATACACCGGGATAGGACCGCTGTGCACAGCCAATACCCCAGGAAACGATGCCATATAGCTTGCCTCGGGTCTCGCCCGGTTGGTATCCAACCAGCGGGCCACCTGAATCACCCTGACAGCTGTCAGCTCCATCTCGAGCGGCACATAGCATGCGTTGCGTCACCGGCAGGACCTTACGATAGGCACGTCGACACAATGTCGTTGGCACATAGCTCACATCCGCATAGCGCAGCACTGGCGATACACCTGCCTCCCCCTCCTCGCTCTGAAGGCCCCAGCCGCTGACGTACAAATGCGTGTCTGGTGTGAGTGCATCCTGCTCGGTTGCCGTCGCAAGGGCCAGCGCCTGCAGCTCGCTTGTGTAATTGAGCTGCGCATTGAGCAGAAGGAGTGCCAAGTCGTTGTCATGCGACTGCGCGTCGTAGGCCTCGTGGCGTATTATTCGCCGCACACTCAGCAAATGGCCGCCAGTAGCATGCTTTGTAGCTCCCACGCGCACGCTGTAATCGAGTGCCGTCCATGGCTCTTCAAAGCAGTGTGCCGCGGTCAGGACGAAATGTTTGCCAATAACGGCTCCACCGCAAATATGTTCATGGTTGAGCTGTATGGATGCCTGATAGGGAAATTCGTGTATCGTGGTCTCCATGCCGCCCACAATGCGATGATCGTATGCCACTACGAGACCCAAGAATGTTAGCAAAATGATGAGTTGCTCGGACAAGTGGGCCATTTTGCTTTGCTCAGAAATGTAATTGAGTGATGCTGGCTTGAACTGCCTTTTCTGAATATGCCGCTGATAATACACGTCTTATCGGCAGATGCTGCTTTTATATTGGCATTGTATTATTTTCTGGTACGGCTTTATCAGAACGCTTTTATTTGTTTTGTGTTGTTGCCTTTAGTTGCGCTTAATCCATAAATATATATGTATATCTTGACATTGGCCTAGTCTTAATTAACTCATTAACAATAAAAACACGTGTCTATTGAATAAATATATTTACATCTTGAAAGTAAATATCTTTCGATAAGTAACCAATAATATTTGATATTAAATTATAATCCGTTTCAAATTAAAATTTGCTTAATATGCATTGGCTTTCTTAAATATTTGCTATTTAAATATTATGCAAATATTTGCATATCATATGGCCTCAACAGGCATTAGTGCAAGTGGAGAGTACATTTTATAAATATCGAGAGTTAGGGAAATATAAGTAGTGGAGTGAAAGTGTAGTGTACAACGCCCTTATACATACTTGTAGTTATTATATATTCAGAGTATCTTTTCTTTATTTCACTTTTTTCACGAATATACTACTGTGTTCAAATATGACCCGCATTTTTTACTATAAATTTATTACACAGTTGTAACTCACACGGAGCTAAATTAGGCAAAGTACTAAACGAGATTTAACTTTTCCTAGTCTCAATAGATATCTTAAAAATCTGTTCCCTGATTCATTAGAAATGCTAAGACATCAGCAACAACCCTTTGATTTGATTTGCTTAACATGTTGTTCATTAGCTGATGGTCTAATTAGTTTTGGATGTGGTTCGTCTTCAACGCTTTCTCGTCCCTCTTTTTGTAACATTCTCCTAGTTTCGGCTTCAAAAATTCCATTTTTTTCACATTTTATGGATTATGTAAACATCACCAAACACAAGTCCACTCATGTAAGCAGGGATGAAAATAGAATGGAAAATCGACACAGCTGGCTAGGAAAGACTTACAAATTTAAATATGCATTTTAAATCTCGTTTTTTTCATTTGAGTAAAACTTTTCAAAGGACTGCTGCCAAAGGTTTAATATTATTTATCAACGTTTTGTGATCTGTTAGTAATGCAAAAAACGTACTACCAAATCAAATATACCTTCCTTGTTGGTATTACAAATTACTGAATGAATGAACTTCTTTTTTACATTAAAGTAAGTTTCCTCAATATTTAAGAAACTATTGTGTACGGTCAAAATATACTATAAGTGTAGCATTTGCGCTTAGAAACAGTTTTAAACTCGAATTTATTTTTAACATTCAACCGAAAATAAATTGGGAATCATAAGCAGTCCATTGGGAACAAAATAGCAAATAATAAGTGGTCTATTGTAACGAAAAATCACGTCAACGTGCATGATGGCAGTGTGGGTCTCTCTTGTATACTTAAATCAGGTAATGGAATGTCAAATGTTATCCCATGTGTTGTAAAAATGATATTCATTGAATTCGTATTAGATGCCAGTTTCTCTTTGATATTTACTTTGGAATTTGTACCTACCAAGCAATTGAGAAATGAAGTAAATAAGTGAGTAAGCTTTTAGGAAATGCAAAAGACAGGCATACATAAGTATTTCAAAGTGTAGTTCAAAAATGTTAGCTCTGGCAGTTTAGCTCGACTTGTGAGACTCTCAACTAATTCTGATTCAATGAATATGTTAACAACTAAGTTGCCAAACCGTATTTTGGCCTCGTTGCGTCTGTGTGCAAGTAAATAAATGGTTGCTTGCCTACGGGAGACCATAAAACGTGTGTGTGTGTGTGTGTGTGTGTGTGTGTTCGTGTCTCCACATGCTGCATGGTTGCATGGGAAACATTTTGCACATGTATTTTATTTCATTATAAGATAAAACAACTTGCAACCGTAGCCAGCAGGACCAGTAGCAGCTCTGCAACAACAAAAATAACAATAACAAATGATTAGTGCACACAAAAACAAATTGCATAAATATTTTAGCAACGAAAACCGTTGACCAGTGGCCGTCATGTGGTCGGTAGGCCAAGAAGTCACTCGATGGGTCAGCTTGTGTTGGTCGGAGGGTTAGTTGGTTGGTTGTCCGGCATCTATCAGATATGTTTGCTACAATTTTAATTTGTTTTGTGTAAATGTGTGCTTGATAAGGCAAGCACATGCACACATTTTAGTAATTGTTTAATTTTGCTTAGACACAAACATACTATATTTCATTTTGAGTTTTCGGCAACAAAATTCAATTTGTTTCTACCTGACACGTATCGGACAGCTTTGGTTAGCTACAAGCTAATTGCATATTCGCAATTAATTAAACGTGGCACCTGCTCGTTTGTTGCTGGTTAATAAACTTTGCTTACATGATGAGACACACTCACTCGCACAACACAATAATTCGTCAATGCAATGCAAGTAAAATAGTAATCCATAAATAACAACAAAAAAATGTTTCGCTTTGCTTTTCGTTTTGCAATTTCCCGGCTCATGTATTATGCAGACAAAAGTGAATAAGAAGAAGCAGCAACGAAAGGAGAAATATTGCCAACCGCAGCGCGCAACGCGCAGCTTTTTATTGGAGTTATTGGCAAAATGGTGTGTGCTTGTGCGTGCGTGTGTGTGCGAGTATGCAGCAGATTTTTTGCTGCGATTTGCCATGGTTTGGCCCCCTAGACTTGTAAATATGATCAATATGCGCTGTAAACATGTGAAGCGTGTAAAATATGTGAAAAGCAGCGCGCATAATGCGCTAGCATGGTGCTATGTGCGTGCGCCTGTGTGTGTATGTGTGTGTGTATGCTGTATTGATGGTGGTCTGACAATAAAAAAAAGCAACAACAAAGAGAGCAACAAACTCATCTCATGGGTTTTGACTGACATATGACATAGCATATGGAATTTCATTTGGCTTGGGTTCAATTGCAAAATATGGAGCTGCCTCAGCATGAATTTAAAAATTCGTGATATGCTTTATTAACACATCTGTTTTCCTTTTATATACTCAAAATTAGTTGAATGCGAATAAACCCAACTCTGTTTTTAAATGGTTTTTTTTGCACGGTTTTGATTAACACGGTTTTATTTAAAATTAAAAATTTTATATACACAGCTGGACAGAATAATAGGTGTGAGAAAATTTGTTTTTCAAAAAAAGCTTGCCCTTCATATATACTATATTCTAATTTTTCTCAAAAATCAATTAGTTTTCAAAATAAACATACTTCAGCGACAAAACAAATAATAAACGGCTTTACCAACCATTAAAAATAACTTAGCGTTTAGTTAATTCATAAAATACCAATATTTCGATTGGACAGGTGTGCAAAAACAAAATTTGTAAAAAATATTGAAATTTTGTTATTTATGGTATTTATGAATATCCGCCATTATTCTTGGTGATTTTTTTAATTCCAGCGGACATAAAGGATATCGACTTCAATCTTTGAAGGGATGTTATACCAATATTTTCCCATAAAATGTACAAATTCATTGCCAGATCAATGGGATGGTCTGAAAAGTTCGTAACGAATGCTCTCAAACCAGACAAATCCATCGAAACACGAGGGACACCCAGAGTTCGACAACCACATCGTTGCATTAGCTGACCACGAACCGTTTATGCCTATCAGAAGGATTTCAAGTGACGGTTCGACCAAAGGACTGCTGGCAAAGTTCCTCTGCTTAAAGCTGCAAATTCCACGATGGGGGTAAAAATTGCATCAATTCATAACACCTACTGGAAAAGGAATTGGTAATAAGCAGGTCAATTTGTTTTATTTATTAAGAATCTGAAGCGTAATGTATTTTAAGAATGTACTATTTTCTGTTAAAGCTACTGATTATACTGAAACGAATTATTCATTAAATACACTTTAATTCAGTCTTAAACCTCACATTATTTCAATAGTTTCACCTAAACCCACATAAAACGGATATTTTGTTTATCGTCAAACTGATATTATTTAACAATAATGGGAATAAAGATCACATTTTAAGAGAGTCAACAAATTACTCAAAACATACATTTTCTACTTTATACACTTTTTACACATTTATTAAATAAATTATTTTATAAATATATAAAAAGAATGTTCGCTAGGCTTAAGAATCATATTTCGTTAGAGCCTCAGAGAAGCTGTTTTGGTCCAACACACCGGCTAAAGATATACATACATACATCAGCTAGCCGAGTCGGTCTGATGATGAGCTCAGACACAACAAAGGCTCCATCAAGAAGCTTGTTTGGCATAAAGACAAGTACATGTAGGAGTACATAAATGTTGTTCATTCTGTTCATCCACTTTACTATATATTCCATCATATATCGGTTTTGCTGATTACATTTTAAAATATCAGATACATTAAATATCCACCTTACTTGTTTCCAATATTCTGGCTCAATAATACGAGACAGAACTTGCTACTGCATCTCTCTTTGAAAATTTAATGAACTATAAACGAAATTAACCAGGAATTCATAAAGTATGCTGTTCTTGTTGTTGCTGTTGACTTTTGTAGCTCCCACGTGGCGTTTTTGGAACCGCACGCACGTATCTGAATGGCAAACCAGACAGCTGTGACTGCGACAGCGTCTGCGGGCATGGGCGTTTTTTGTGGTAATAATATTTACATGACCTGCATAAATAATTAGCCTATGCGGACAAAAAACAAAACGCACTTGCTTACGATTTTTTTATTCGGTTTAATACAAGTATTTGCTCTTCTTTTCAGCTCGGCTTTTTAAGTCATCCTGCGGCTTGTCATGCTCGTAGCAGCGGTGTCGGCATTTCCGGCATCTGCTTTAAAGTTTTCGCATGTTGCGTTGCCTAAGCAACTTGGAAAAACTTGTGCGTGAATAACGGAACGGTAAGTCCTCAAGTGTTGATACAAGTATATACATATAGCGCTTGAGTGTCTGTTGACTGTAGCTGCTTGACAGTTGACTACTTTTGTAGCTTGATATCTTGATACTTGCTTTATAATGT